TCATCAGCAGACTTGGCCAGTCCGCTTCTGACTCCAATGTCCACATCATTAATGAAGATGTTGAACAATATGGGTCCAAGGACAGAGCCTTGGGGGACCCCACAGGTCACAGGGCACCATGATGAATGACTTCCACCAACCGCCACCCTTTGGGTCTGACCACAGAGCCTATTCCGGCCCTTCTCCCCCAGCCAGTGGATCGTGGCGGACCCGAGGCCGCAGTTGGCCAGTTTTGCCAAGAGGTGATGAGTCAAGGACTTCTGTATTGCTGATTGACTTGCCAGTTTTACGGCGGATGGTGAAGGTGATCAGCTTGTGGTTGCTGTCACCCAGCTTCACATCAATCATTAGGTTGCTGATTAGGTCATCCCCGGTTGCCAGTACCAGGTTGAGCAGCGCTTTACCTCTCATTGGCCCGTAGACTTCTTGTGTCAGATAGAGGTCATCCACGCATGACAGGAAGGTTTGCAACCACTTGGATTTAGCTGAGTGCTCTTCCCATGAGATGTCTGGGTAGTTGAAGTCTCCCATGACAACCATTGACCAGGAGCATGCGGCCTCAGCCAATTCCTTGGTGAACTCCTGGTCAAGCTCTTGACTTTGGGTGGGAGGTCTGTAGTAGACTCCCACCATCGTGTCCCCTGTGCCATGTTCCCCACGGATTTTAACCCAGAGGGTCTCCAGTCGTTCACCCTAGTCGCCAATATCTGCTTGCAGGGACATGTAGCTCTCCTTGACATAGAGAGCTACGCCTCCGCCCCTTTTGTCTACTCGATCTCTCCTGTACAGGGTATAGCCTTCTATACCCGTGGTCCAGTCATGGGTGGAGTCCTACCAGGTCTCCGTTATCCCTATGACATCATAATTATTTGTGTTAAGCAGGAGGACGAGTTCCTCCAGTTTATTCCCCAAGCTCCTGGCATTTGTGTACAGGCAGGAAAGTGTCCCCTTGGGGGCCCTTGCCTTGCCCACAGATTGTTCCAGGGCTGGGGCAGGGGTGGGCTCCCTTAAGTGCCTTGGCCTGCTGGCTTTGCAAGGATTGCTCAGTGGGCCAGCAGTGGCAGTAGTCTCCCTGTCCCCTGGCGGGCTTAGTTTCAGATGACCCCAGCCAGATGCCTATCCAGCCTTCTCTTAAAGATCTCCAAGGTAGGGGAGAGCACCACTTCCTTTGGAAGCCCATTCCAAATTTTGGCTACCCGTACCATGAAGTTTTTCCTGATATCTAGCCTAAATCTGCTCTCTGTCAGTTTGTGACCATTGTTGCTTGTTACCCCAAGAGGAGCCCTGGTGAACAGAGCATCTCCGATCCCTTGCTGCGTCCCCCTAATGAATTTGTAGGTGACCACAAGATCACCTCTCAGCCTTCTCCTGCAGAGGCTGAAGAGGTCCAAGTCCCTCAATATCTCCTCACAGAGTTTGTTCTGTAAGCTCCTAACCATATGAAAGATAATCCAATATCCCCTGCTCTGTATTGAGCGTAGCGAATATAGTGAGTTTAAATTCAGTATGCTCAGGCGGCTAGGCTGATGCCACCAAGTCCCACCCCTGGTGCTGTCTACAGTTGGGGAGGGAGGTGATGGAGCTCAGGCTGGGGTTTGCCTAACCTGCACTGGAGTGGGGGTGGATGGGGGGTTGCACATCTGTCAATGCCCAGTAAGACACAGACAGTTAGAGATTATGCGCTCTTGTGATTCTTCAGTTGAAGAAGAGAGGAGGAGGAGAGGAAATAGAAGCTAAAATGAGAATGGCACTGCCAAAACCCCGTTAACTAGCCATTAACAAGTATTATAAAAGAAACCAGTCAAGAGCAAGTGAACTGAGAACTTTCTCTTCTTGTGAAAGAGAACTCCAGGTAGCTTCCAGTGTGAGGTGAGATTTAGTCTTAGAAATCCTCGTAGCAACCCTGGACTGTTTCCAAATTTGACAGAGGCATATGGCATTTGTGAGAATGGGGTGCAGAAGATATAGGCAAAATAAAAGACTTACAAGCAAGAGCAAATCTCACTTCACTTAATAAATTGGCTGCCTCGACTGTTTTCTTGCTCAAAACTAACTGCACAAATCGCATGCACAACAGGCAGAACAGTTCTGTACTGGGTAATCCAAGAACTCTGGCCTAAATTCCAGCAAAGAGTTAAGCTGGGATGCTGAGAGGACACTAACAGTAGTTGTATATAATCTGGCTCAATATTTTAGTTACAGAAGTATTGACACTAAAGTAGTCTCCATGTAGCTCTTATTCTTCCTGATCTTTTCCTACACATATATCATCTAAATTGAATACAGGGCAAACTGCTCACGGTCGAACAGTCCAAAGGCAAGTACATAGGGATCAGTTACAAGTGTTTATAGTGCAGTTTTGCTACATCAACATAATTTAGCACTGGGGAATGATCCATGAGAATGTATGGGTCAAGTTGTCTCTGTGTTAGACAGAAAAGTTGTTCTGTTTAAAATTTAAAATTCCCTTCAGTCAAAGTAAGGCACAGATTTATGACTCAGAATCCAGTGTTGCTTTCAAAACTTACATGTGGAGCAAGATAAAGTTGGTAATGTTTTGCATAGGGTTCTGCTACTTCTTACTCACTTTGTAACACCAGCTGGAAATCTGATGTAATTAACAGGAACTAGAAATAATGAGAACACATTTTCTTGGATTTTTTTAAGTGTTACTTTTTAATAACACCTTAGTTTATACTACATTTACTATTTAAGTGAACTTTAAATTTTGCTTAAGTAATGGTATGCAAACTTTCAAAAGTAACCATTAGTGAAATGCTTTACTTAAAATTTCCTTTGAGAACAGCACTAATGCAACTGCTCCCTTGACAGAGGGAGATAACAATCAGCTGCATAAATTGTATTTAAATTTTTGTCGTTGAAAGATTTCACACAAAAAGGCAAAAGACAAACCAGCAAATTAGGAAAAAACAGACTTAATGCTTATATTGTTGGTTACATATTGCATATTCTGTGTTTCTGTCATACTTTGGAAGATAGAGTTTACTTTATGTCACACAAAAGAGCAACTCCTCTCAGTATCCAATGGTCTGGAGATACGATTGTCCTTAAATAGATCACAGTGATGTAGGTCAGATCCGTCCTCCTTGGTTTCTTGTAAACCGGGCAAACATAGAGTTTTGGATCTTTAGGACCAGTTGTGTTAATAGCAAATATGTGCACCACAGGGAGTGGTGTGAAAAGAATCTTTGGTGCAGATTCTGTAAGTTTACTGTTACGTCGGTCCCAGCCTGCTCCATCCAAGTACAGTCCATAAATATAGACCCCTTCCTGTGTAGACAGTAAGCAGATAAATGATACATAAAACATAACTATTTCACTTACAAAATAAATAGCTGATTTAAGCCACTAAAATGAGAAAGTTGTATTACAGTTAGAAAAGTCTGCCAGAGGAAAAAAGGGAAGTTAAATTAAATAACTAGAAAAAGCCTCAGCACATAATGCTACTGAAATGGAGATAAAAGCACTTTACTAATTGAGTTCACCAGGTGAAAAATTGTTTATGTATGGTAAAAATACAATTATTCCATTACTGAAAAACAGATACATTTGTATAAGTGCAAATTTGTCCCATATTTAGCAATGGCAAATATGGCAAGAAGTCTCAATTTCAGGCCTTTAGAAAACATAGAAGAAAGTATAGCCTAATGAAAAGATTTGAACTGGTCTTTTAAGAACTTATTTTCATAAACTGACAAATAGCAAATGTGACCCCTGACACATTAATTTAAAGGTGTGATGGGCTCTGATGCAGGATTTTGACAATCACACTTCCTGCCATGACACATGTGCATGGCTGGAAGCGCAATCATGAGATTGAGCTTCAGATCCCATCATGCCAGATTGCCACACTAAACACAAAATATGTGTAATAACACTTATTTCTCATTTTTTCACACCATTAATTGAATGAACATGTGTCCAGGTCACTATTTAAGATACGATTAACCAGTTAATCACACCTTAAGTATAACATCTGTCAGGGGACCATGATTCCACAACTTTGCATGATTTCTATTTAACTTCTAAAACAGTAAAAATGTTGAGAGAATGTTAAAGTGTTCTACAGCAATTTGAAAATCCTGAGTTATCCAAAAATACAAAGCACTGAAATTAATACTGAAATATTTTCATTTGTCATACATACAGCAGGAGGTGTTGTGATTTCTTCTTTAGCTTGCTTTAACACTTCATTATGTATTGTAACTGTATCTAAAGCCCAGCCTTTATGTGCTCGAGTTGCTTCTTGTCTCATTGCTGTCAGGAATCCTGAAATGCCAAGCCACAAGATTTAGTGTTTTATCTGCAAAACTGATTATGTGTTGTAAGTCTAGATGGATTCTCCCAGAAAGGCTGCTCATCAGGCTACAGTAATGGACCCAAGGCTTGGGTCCCAAATGCTTTTGGCTTTCTGGAAAGCATGCCTGTGTCTAATACCCCTCTGTGTAGTGGGAACCCTGCAGTACAATTGTCAAAGTAGTGAACTGGGCACCATTTATTCTTTTTTGTGGAATCTCCTTCACTGGAGGTTTTCAAGAAATGGCATGTAGGCACCTATCTGGAGTGGTTTAGGAACAGTACATCCTGTACCTGTGCATGGGTTGGACTACATGATCTTTGAGGTTTTTTCCAATCCTATGAATCTATGATTCAAGTCTTCTTTGGAACTGTTGCATGCTCTTGGGATATTAAAAGACATTGCCAAATGAAACAGATCAGTTGTGGTGGGATGTGTCCTGCCACCGCTTATCCATTTCATTGGGCAAAGCACATGTAGCCTGTCATCCTGCATTAGGCAGGAGCCTGATCCTGCGAGACAACAGGCAACACGTTCCCTGCTTACAGAGATGCACCTTGGAAATTCCCTGTGGCACGTCTCTGTAAGAGGGGAAAGCCGAGGTTTTCTGTCTGCAGAGATGCACCCAGGGAAAGCCCCAGAAACTCCTGGGGTACATAGGATTGGGTACCCCAAGCCCCAGGACTGCCTGCCCAGGGTGGCTGGAAAGTGCAGGCAGCTCTCAGCTGAGCACGCTCTCCCACCAAAAACCTAACAGACATCTGCTGCAATAGCATGGTGCAAATTGATACCATCTGTGTCACAGCCACAAATTTTAGGCATTTGCTGTACGACAAGAAGTATGAACATCTGTTTGCTTGACTTTTGTGCCGCCACAAAAATGTTTATGCAGACATAAAAGTGACACCTGTTTCCACCCTCAGAGTTCCCACCAAAGCTGGAGATGCTCTGGCTTACTCTTTTCCCCTGCAGGAATAAGATAATTGGAGAAATCCCTTTAATGTACAGCTTATGAACTTAAATTTCATTTTGTGATCTGTGGGCATGTCTACATGAGACACTACGGGGCTACAGCTCATTGCTACAGTGACATAGCATCGCCAGGCACAAACTGTGATGGCGACACTACTGTGCAGTAGCAACAAGCTACTGCACAGAAATTTGTTGCTACTGTGCAGTAGCGTTTGAAAAAAAGTGTGGTGATGGGACTGCAGTAACACCACTTACTGTGCAGTCATTTAGTACTTGGTCAAGCAAATACTAAATGACTATGTAGTAACAACTGTGCATTCGGCCACTCATGTAGATGTGGTCTGTCCATATCATTATACTGCGCATTGCTTCATGCTCTTTCTAGTAAGGGGGGGTGGATAGCACTAATTTGTCTATCTATGCATTAGTTCAGGGTTGGCCAACAAGTGGCACAGGTAGCCTGTGTGTGGCACACAGCAAATTGGGGAGGTGACAGGCAGCACAGGCATAGACGGGACAGGAAACATAAAGCAGCACAATGGATCAGGCAGGGAGCTGAAAACAGAGCAGCAGATTGGGCAGAGGTAGAGAACTGGCACTTGGGGATGGTGCACGGCTGGTTTGTGACATGCTAGCTGTAAAGAATGGCCCCCAGTAAATTAACTGATTGTTAAACACTATCAACACCTGAGTAGATCTCATCTGGGAACAACAAAAGAGGACCTGTATTGTAGAGAAAAACAGCTTTTTCCAGCTTTGGTGGGGGAAGAAGAGGGGCTGGGTGAGGGGTGATACAGTGCGTGTGCTAGATTTTAAAAAATGGCAAAAAGTATATCTGTACTGTGACTCCAGTGTGGTTTACAGTACTTAGCTTGGGTAGTAGTAGCAGTCTGGAATCAGCAGCAGGGAGCTCAGGACAGGCTGTGAAACATGTCAGAGAATCAGATTAATTTAGCTCAAGCTGATTTCTTACGGCCACAACTAGACTACCACCAGTATCCAAACTAGGTAGTTTAAAGTTAATTCAGGTATCTGCACTAAACTAGAGTAACTACTGTAACTGCAATGTAGAGGTGTCACAGCAGGAGTTTAAAAAAAAGCAAAGGAGTGATGTTGGGGCTTCCCTGTGCTAGGCAATGTATATACATACAATAAAAGACAGTATTTGCTCCATGGTGCTTAAAGAACCAATCCTGCAAACAGTTTTTTTGTGCTAACTTTAAGTACAGTAGCCTAAGTGCTGTCAATGGAAACATAAGAAAACATGCCTTAGTTAAGTGTATAGTTTTTGAGGGTAAAAAGTGTTTTGTCTAAGCCACTTTTATCACCATTATCATTAGACCAGTAACAATGGACATCACAGTAGAGTTGAGATTTTGGGAAGAACAATATGAGAATCATGTAAACTGATGTGGAGAAGACATTCTATACAGAGGGGAAATACAGGGAAAAACACAAAGATACTTGTGGAAAATGTAGGAAGTCAAATAGGAGAGACTGACGTTACTCGTTACACATTACACAAACTTTGTTTCTGATAATATGTGTAGAGACCAAGCAGTGCCATATGCTGAATGGAATACCAGACCAGCTATAGTGCCTGTGTTCATGTTGTCCTGCAAAAACTATTGTTCATGGGTTATAGAACTATTGTTCATGGGTTATCCATACAACTCCTAAAAATTACTGCTGGTAGTGTACAATATTATAAAAATGAATTAAACTTTTACTCCAAGCTGATAAAACTCTCAAGCATAGTCCTCAGCCTTCACCAATATAATGCTACTACTAATGCTATTACAGATTTTGGGTCTGATTCATAGATGCAATCATTCTACCTCTTCTTGCTCTGGTAGAAGAAGGCAGTCCTGTACCGAGTTTACCTTATTTGAGGAGGGCCTTTTTCCTCTTAGGAGAATCCTCTAGCAGCCCTTACTGCCACCACAGTTCCTGTGCCACTGTCCCTCCACCCTCAACCTCAAGCGCAGCCATTCTTTCTGTTTGGCTGTCCCCACTCCCCCCACCCCCCCCACACACACCAGTGCCCGCCCTCAAGGGCTAGGAACAGACATTACACATAAACTGGTTTAAGTGGTCAGAAACTGGTTTAAACCTGTAACAGAACAAACATTCAGTGCACTGAAACCAGTTTGAGATAAACCAGGCTGAATGCAGTATCAGACTTAACTGATTTGGGTCAAACTGGTTTATACAATGTCTGTCCCAGGCCCCTTCCTGGTTGAACTTAAACCAGAGTCCCCCCGGCATCCCAGATGCTTTGCAGCCCTGGGTGGGGCTCTCTGCTCCACAGCAGGGCTCTACTCCCTTGCTGGAGCTCCAGCAGAGACGGCAGGCACAGCAGGGTCTGCCTGGCTTCCTCCTGCCCCACCCCGCCCTCGCTACTCAAGCAGGGATTCCTGCCCCCACCCCTTCCCATAGCATGCACCATAGCCAGCATGTGGTATGCTAGCTAATGCTGAGAGGTGTCTGTGTGAGGCAGACAGGACAAAGGCAGACAGGGTAGTGTCCACTTAGGGCTTTTTGGAGCTAAAAGAAGAGCCTGAACTAATGAGAGAGGCTTTTGTTTTCTTGATGGGCTGATACTGTGTTACTCCCTGTGTAACTTCATGCTGTGTAACTCCCTGCTGGCTCCCTCACTGGTCAGGAACAGTGAGGGGGGGATTTCCCTAATCAGAGTGTCTTGCTGGGGCCTGGCCACCCCCCTCCCCCAAGCTCAGCAATGTGGAAAGGAGGGAAGGCTGCTCTAGCACCCCACAGCTTCTAGCATGAGCCACTGCAGGCACGTGCCTGCATTTTTCCAGTCCAGAGGGGATGTCTGTACAGTGACAAACCAGTTTAGCCTAGCCAGGTTAAACTAACCTGTAAAGATTGAATCAATTCAGGCTCAGGCTTTTTGAATGTCTGTCCCTAGTCAAATACACTGTGCTCCTCCAGGCACTGTAGCCATATCTATCCTGTGCTCTGGGAGCCGATTAGCACTGCTGAGGAATAGTGCCAATTTGCCTGCTCCCCATACTAACTACCCTGCTTTCAATTTAGGAGCAGACAGCATAGTAAATTTACAGTGTAGACACTTTTGGTTGCTATTTCTGAATCATAAGATAATAGCATGCTTTGACTCTCCTTTAATACATTTGTTAACTGTACTTTTCTTGACAAAAGTAGAGAGATGTTTTGACCTGTTTTTAATACCATCTGCTTAAAAAGGCACTAAACATAAAAAAAAAAGTTGAACAATAATTTGGAAACCCTCATACTGGCGTTATGCAACCCAGACACTTCAATAATCTCCTTTGAAAATTGACTTAGATATTACTGGTTTCCACAGTATCACCCATAAAAAGGTTAATAGGAATTGCAAAATTACCAACTGAAGATAACTTGTGTATATACAAAGAACTAAGGGATTCATCCAGCTGAAAATAGATTTCACAGCTGCTATACTAGAGAAGCTCCCCACAGGCATTTTGTATGCTGCAGCTAGAGAGACTGAAATGATTCTTCTTCAGAAATATACCTCAAAGGAAGCTTCATTTTTTTAATTTGTACCATATTCTGATAAAACTGATTTTCTTTTAATTCAGATAATACACTTAGGCAATTCACTATTGCAGCCTAGTTTTTGCACTGTTTCTGGTTACTCACTGGAGTTGTTTATCACACAAGGATTTTTTTTCTTCAAAGCAATGAGACAAACAAGATAATCCTAGATTTCGTTTACTTGTATGTCAGAGGTGTAACCCAGAAAGATCTGGACTTACAAGTTTTGTTTATTCATAAATTTGGCAGGTAGCAATAGTTTTTACAATATCTATAGGGAGTTAATTTACTATGAAATGTAGATTATTTTCTACAGTGTATGTTCACATCTTCTTTTCTACTGTGTGATGTATAAGCTACAGAAGAATCCACAGAAGTAGCTCTATATTTGCAACTTATTTTTGCAATATTTGCAACTTGCGATTTGGAAAGACACAAATGATTATAAATCATAATGAAACTGGGAAATAAAACATATTTCTTTAGGAGCTATACCATTAAGTTTGTCACTATGTTATGTCACTAAGCAGAACTTTATCATTAATGAACTGAAAAAATACTATTTCTCATGTTTTCATCTGTTTTCAATATACAGAATTAAATTACATATGTAATAAGTTGCATCAAATAGTAGTTAAATACAGTACACTGTACTATAAATCAGGCAGAAGGCATGGTAGAGATGCACCTGATAGATTAACTAAATCAGTGATGTATAAGCTTTCATAAGCCCAAGCTCACATCATCAGATGTTTACAAAATACACATACAAAATACAAAGAACAGAGCAGAAAGGTGTGGGGGTGGGGGCAGTGCTAAGGGCAAACAATAAGTTTTATTCAAGCTTTGCCAGTACTTTAACTACCATATTTACCCAAATCCAAGATGATTTCAACTTTAAGATGACCCCTCCCAAGAATTAAATTCTATACATGGAAAATTGTAAGTTTGTTAGAATTTTCCATGTATATAAACTAATTATCAGAAGGTCACCTTAAATTTGTCCTCCCACAGCACTGAAGTAGAGAAAGCAGTGGCAGGAGGGACAAGCAGCCTTATCCCCACCCCTTGCCCCCGCTTCTACCACCACACCACTTTCTTTCCCCAGCACGTGCTCCCTGCCACCTCCCTTGCCACTTGCCCTCCTCCTCTGATGCCCACCCTGCTTGCTGCAGCTTACCCTGTGGTGGCTCTAGCTCCAGCTCTGGTCCTGGCCAGGTAGCAGCAGTGACAACTCCAGCTCTTGCCCCTAGCTGGGTTGGGGCTGGATTTGGAGTGCAACAGCTCCTCTGCTGCTGCCTGATCTCCCCTGTAGTCTTTCACACTGCATAGTCTTCCCTATGCTCCTACCACCGAACACCACATAGTCTCTCTAGCACTTCTCCTCCAACCACACAGTCTCCTCCCATGCTCCCCCATGCCACCTTCCCTGCCACACAAGCCCCTCTGATCCTAGCCAGGCAGCAGCTCTGGTACTCAAATCCAAGACTAGGCTCCCCCCATGTGTTAAATGGGGGAGAGCACTTAATCTTGGATTCAAGTAAATACAGTACCTTGTGGATTAAAGAATCCAGTCATCCAAAAAACAGGTGGTCTCCCTTCAAATATCCAGGTAGAGAATTGAGTATTTCTTTCTAGAAGTTCAGTAAACCAGAATCCAAGTGTAGAAGAATCCCAAGATACTCTTTTCCACAGCTGAGGAATTCGAGCATCATACATATTGTCAAGTGCATCTCTCAAACTCTGAAAAAGTGAAAAATCATAATCTATTAATTGGTTCAACTGAGATAGGTTCTGTTTAAAGAGAGTATTTTTTAATACAATAAAGAGTTCATCACTTGCCTCACTCATAATTATGGTTCCTTCTATAGCTAGTTTAAGATCATTCAGACTGTTTCGGAGTATTGAGATAACCTTTTGCATTCGATCAATTTCTTGACGAAGAAAAATATTCATAGAATTAAGGTGTCCCATTTTTATTAAACGATTCTTTACCTAAAATACAGGAATGTGAAGAAGCAAGTTAAATTTTAAAATTTTGCAATTAATATTGGTGTGTATAATAGTTCATTATCATAGCACTGAGAAAAGTTATCAATAGTGCTATTACTTGAGATTGTGGGTGGCCTTTTTAGACAGAGGCAAGGACTCAGAAGAAGTCAATATTTTTATTGGCCCGATTTTCTCTAAGGGATAAAGACTCTGACAAGGAGTGATTAAAGTTGTGATGAGAGTTTAGGGCTATGTTTGCATCAGGACAGTGCTTCTTAGAGCTGAAAGAAAGTGAGAGAGAAAGAAAGAAAGAGAGAAAGACTTTTGACTTTTAAGAGGCATTTCTTCCAGGGAGGGTGACAAATCGGGGCCAGTAGAGAGTATGTACAGACTGGCCCGAAGAGAGAAAGAAAAAGGAAGAAAGAGGCAAAAGAGTCTTATGGAAAATGAGGCAAGGAAACATTTGTGATAGTGAAAATAAGCAGTTATAGTGCAACATATAGATTCTTAGGGCACCTATATACAAGCAGCAAGGCTGCTCTAATGCTGTAATTACAGCATGTTGGAGCATGCTCAATTAAGCGAGTCTGCTGGAGCATGGTAATTGCCACACGCCAGCAGACTCCAGTGTCTTGTGCACCAGCATCCCTGACCTTAAAAATGTTGGTGGGGGCACCTTAACTAAAACTCGTTAAATGAGCTTTAGTTAAAGCAACCCTACCACCATATTTAAGCACAGGATACTGATACACAAGACACTCTGGGCACTTCAGTTAGAGAGGCCCCTAGAGTCTGATAGCTGCAAGCCATGACTGAAGTTCTGAGTTTGACTAGACTGCTCCAAATCCAAATACTGTTACATGAAACTCATGAATGAACAGTCACAGTTTGTAACTCAAACAGTGAGACTTCATAATCTGAAGACGATTAGGTGACCAGGTTGGTCTATCAGTAAATTCAAACTTCAAAAAAATCCTCAAAAAACCCAAAGGCTTATTATCAGCAAAATAATTAAAAGCAAAAAAAAGTTATTTGAATATTATGGAATCTATTTTTGAATATTATTTGATCAACTCTGCTTAATAGTATCAGGTTCTCCAAATGCAGTGCCTCTATATTTCTTTACATTTTGCTTTTCCTCCAAGAACCTTAGGAGCACTGAAAGCAGGTTTATCTGCTTAGTGAAACTTTTCATTTTCTTCCTACACTTGATTCAAAAGCCTTTACAGCTCCAGCTAGTAGGAATTATTTAGTCTTTAGAGTTCCTTAATTCTTTGTCCCTATTGGAGAATGTAAGTGGGTGGGGCCTGCGCTGTTCAATTTCTTCATCAGCGATCTTGATGTTGGGGTGGAAAGCAACCTGTTTAAATTCGCTGATGACACCAAAATTTGGGGGGAGGTGAGCACGCTAGCAGGGAGAGAGAGATTGCAGAAGGATCTGGATAGGTTACAGGGGTGGGCAAACAGGAACAGGATGTGTTTCAATACGGACAAGTGCAGGGTGCTGCACTTGGGTAGTAGGAACCAGCAGCACACTTATACGATGGGGAACTCCCTACTTGAGAGCACGGAGGCGGAAAGGGATCTTGGTGTCATTATTGACTCCAAGATGAACATGGGCCGACAATGCGAGGTCATGGTTGGCAGGGCTAACAGGACCTTGTCGTGCATCCACAGGTGCATCTCGAGTAGAGCCAGGGAGGTGATCCTCCCCCTCTATGCGACGCTGGTCAGGCCGCAGCTGGAGTATTGTGTCCAGTTCTGTGCGCCCCATTTCAGGAGGGATGTGGACAATATGGAGAGGGTCCAGAGGAGGGCCACCCGCATGATCCGGGGACAACAGGGCAGACCCTACAGAGAGAGACTGCGGGACTTGAACCTATTCAGCCTCCACAAGAGAAGGCTGAGGGGGGACCTGGTGACCGTCTATAAACTCACTAGGGGGAACCAGAAGGGTTTGGGGGAGACGCTGTTTCCCCTAGCCCCCGCTGGCATAACAAGGAGTAATGGGCACAAGTTGATGGAGAGGAGGTACAGATTGGACATCCGAAAAAACTACTTCACAGTTAGGGCGGCTAGGAGCTGGAACCAACTTCCAAGGGAGGTGGTGCTGGCCCCTACCCTGGGGATCTTTAAGAAGAGGCTGGATACTTACCTGGCTGGATTCATTTGAGTCCCGTTTTTGTTTTTAGGGTTTTTAGGGGTTTTTTGGGTTGTTCTCCCGCCCTGGCAGGGGGTCGGGCTAGAAGATCTATTAGGTCCCTTCCGACCCTAAAAACTATGAAACTATGAAACTATGAATTAACTTGATAATGCATGTACCTAAATCCAAGACTGCTTCAAATTTAAGACAATTCCCCCCCCCAAATTAGATTATTGATTCTAGATATGGAAAATTATAAATGTGTTATAATTTACAAAAACACTTCAATAATTAGATTTTGTACATGGAAAATTATATCACATTTATAAGTTTCCATGTACAGAATCTAACTATTAGACGGTCATTTTAAATTCATCCTTCTCACAGCTCTGACAGAGAAAGCAGTGGTGGGGGTAAGAAGCCATAGTTTCCTCCCTGTTCCGACTGCACAGTCTCCCCTGTGCTCCCCCTGCCACATGCCCCCTCCCCTGCCGCACAAGCCACCCCAGCCTGGGATAGGCCAGCTCAGGGGCTGAAGCTAGAATTGCCCCATCACCTGACCTAGGCCAGTACTCAAATTTAAGACAAGGAGGTTCCCCCTCATACACACAATCACCGGGAAAGGTAGGGGGGAGGGCTCCTCTTGAATTTGAGTGAATACAGTAGATATTTGTAGATAGATGCTAAAATAACTTTGAAACAACTACTAGAACTGCCTTGCTTTTAAGTTAGCTAGGATAGTTAAGTTAGTTAGGATAGCTTTAGTGCCCCGCTAAGCATTGCCAAGATATGTCAAATCTAGGCCATTCACTGTCACTGGAGCCCAAATAAATAAAACCTTATTTGGAATTGCCAGCAGTTATAATCTTTGTGGAGGATAAACCCAAATTAAGATATAGACCAAGGGACTGCTTGACAGTTGCATACACATTCTAGCAACATTTAAATTATTTTTCTAATTGAATGTAAATGACCACAACTTCAAGACAGGTACAGTTGTTAGGTCATTTTACTTTCCTATTTTTGAACAATGAAATTATAAATGCCAGTGTTGCTCAGGGTTCTTCTGTTCTACCTGTTGTCTTGAGGCAGGAACAGAGAGTTGCTACCTCACCATTCACAATAAACCAAGCAAATTTACTCTCAGTGTTATTTCAGGGTGTTTCTGCAGACCCAGGAAGACAGCACAACACCCATTCACAGTCAGTTTATCTTCACTGCCAGAATGATAAGAAGCTTATTTATTTTAATTAACAAATGTTTAATTCTATTCAAACCAACTGAGAAGACGGGGTAAGCTGGCTGTGTCACTAATTATAGTGTCTTTTGTTTATAGAAAGAGTCGAAGATTTTTCTGCCCTCTAACTTCTTATATGAAAACTCCACAGATTTTGTTTAAATGACCTCACCTCATGGGGTATGTAATCAGAAGGCAGTTTGTCCAGCATATCTTCAGCTAATCGGTATACAATGGCTTCACGGGTTTCTCCTGCTCCTCCTCCACTTTCCTTGGGTTGAATATTGGTAATGGTATCCAGAACATCAGCTGCTGTATTACTTTGATATCTGAAATTTACATTAAAGCATTAAGAATATTTCAGAAATCACAGGTAACTTGTATGCTTTGTATAATCACAGAATTTAGATGTGTGAAAAATTGTATAGGGATTATTTTCATTTTCATCACATACAGAGCTAAGTGCATTGGTCCAAATAAGGCCAAATTTTATGTGGCTATGTGAGGAGAAACATAATTGTTCCCTTCCCCGTCTTACTGGGTACATCCCTACATTTGTAATTCAGATATAGGAAAGAAAAGCAAGTACAAATGGCTGCTATCCCATCCTGTTACCGGAAAAGTGAGGAGAGGGAAAAACTACTCCAACATTAGATTGGCATTTTGGGGAAGTGGAAGGAGAACAATTGATGTCTGGTAAGAAATGATTTATCTAAAAGAAGCAGGAAAAGTAATATGGTAGAGAGATACCATTTTTTTTTCTTAGGCTGCTTTTTGGGGGTAAGCATGGAAATGACTGTGCAAACTGTCCCCTCTTATACAAGGCTAGATGTAAAGATTCAATCTAGCCGTCATTAAATAGCAAAATCCATTCTACCACAAGGCAGTTCAGAATTGATAATAAAACTTGCCAGATTTACAACCCTGGAGATTAAAATCTTCTAGCCTGGGCACTGCTGATGTAAATTTATGTTCTGAGTCAGTAAATGCAGTGAATACAGTAAGTTTATGCTGCATCTGTTAGAAAAAGAGGGTAAGCAGTGCTGGCTTGTAACGTGAACACAGCTGTATGAGTACTTTTGTTATACTGCTACCTAATGGCTGTGCGGGCCGGGAGCGGTCCGAGGCTTTCGGGGGCGCACGGAGGGCTGTGGCCAGCAGCCCTGGCACGTGGGTCGGGGAATTAGGCATGGCGGACTAGAATTAGGCACGGATGCGTAGCGGTTGATTAAAGATTATTTTACTTACACCGTAGATGGTTGCGGTGCAGGCAGGAAAAACTTCGCTTAAGTTGCAGTTACAAACGAAAAGAAAATTTGCACGAACAAGACCCGTAGAAAACTTGAGCCTCTTAAACCCAGAAAGAGCTCTGGATACACACGCACATGAAGTTTGCTAGGCTCCGTGGACTGAGCGCGCAGGGAAGGGTACGTCGAGGGATCAGGCGGCGACGGGGAGAGGCTAGAGATTGATCAGGCCCCTGTATCCTCCTCTAAGGCACACGCGGGGTTTGTTAAGCTCCACAGTGCTTAGAGTTCTCCACGAGATGGATGTGGAGTCCTCCTAAATGAGGTCCTCCCCGGAGATCTCCAACTTGGGCGGAAACTGCTCAAGCCTCTTATACAGCTAGCAAGCCA